TAAACTTCCGTGCCGTATAGCGTGAATAACCCTGTATACATATAATACAGCCAAGACGACAAAATAAAGCAGTAGAGATGAGTTAAGCAAAGTTTTTCCAAACAGTAAGGAACAGTTGACTAAAAGCTTTAAACTTTGTTGTTTGTTGGCGTAATGAGTAGTGGCCCAATAATTTATCTGAAATCCTTAACAAACGGCGGAACGATCTTTGTTTCTTAAAACCGAAATTTATCGTCCCTTAAATTCCCGAAATTTTCAGTTAAATACATTTCCGTTGTAATTTTCTCTTTGTGTCCCGCATTCACTGGTGCTTCTGGCGTTCAGTTTTATTTATATGTAACGGGAATCCGGGGGGGCTGATATATATTTTTATTATTTATGGTGTTTGCTTTAACACAGATTCGGCTTTCGGTTTTCACATCCTCTACTTCGCTCGGTTTATACAGTTAAAACCAACTTATGTTGGATTATTTTCATTGCTTTATGCCAAGCAAATCGATCTGCTAAGTGTCTCGACGCCGAAAAATTTGTGGATTTTACGTTCTGTTGATTGTACGTTTTCCCTGCCTTCGAATGATTACAAGAAAAATAGCGAAAACATCGGAAAACAAACAGATTTCCAGAAAAGCATTCGGAGTTTATCAATCAACTAATCGTCGAAGCGCAGTGATTATGTGGATTTAATCTTCCGATGGCTGATCTGTTTTATTTACAGTTCGAATAGAAGGGCGTTTTTGAGAAAAGAAGCTGTTTAAAAAGCCACTGAAATTTTCGAGTCGATATCTCGTCTGGGTTTGAAGATATCAACTTAAGAAAACGACAGAGAAATTGTCAAAGTTAAAAAATTCGCTAAAGCTTCTAAACTAACATGGAATTACTAAGCGAATCCGCCTATAATGGTACAATGAGGTTGCCGATATCTGACTTCGATTTGAAGAAATTCAGTTTGAAAGATTAACATTCAGAAGTGGGCAAACGGCAGAAAATTCGTCAATATTTAAAAATTCATGTTGAAAAACGTAATAAAGTGAAAAAATTAAATTAAAACAGTTTATTAAGCAAGCAATTCTTAATAAAATGTTAAAATTACCTTACCGAAATCTGCTCTGGATATGAAGAAATCGGCTCTGGAAGATTAAGTTGCAGAAGGGGGCAAACGACAGAAAATTTGTCAATATTTAAAAATACCTATTGAAAAAAGTCATGAAGTAAATAAAATGAAATTAAGACAGTTTATTAATTAAACAATTCTTAATGAATTATTAAAATCACCTTGCCAAAATCGAGCACGGAGATGAAGAAAGCGGTTTTGGAAATCGAAGTTGCAGAAGTGGGCAAGCGACACAACATTTTTCAACATTTAAAAATTCCTATTGAAAAAAGTAATTAAATAAATAAAATAAAATTAAGACAGTTTATTAGGCAAACAATTCTTAATAAAATGTTAAAATCACCTTGCCGAAATCCAGTCTGGATATGAAGCAATCGGCTCTGGAAGATTAAATTGCAGAAAGGAGCAAACGACAGAAAATTTGTCAATATTAAAAAACACCTATTGAAAAAAGTCATGAAGTAAATAAAATAAAATTAAGAGAGTTTATTAACTAAACAATTCTTAATGAAATATTAAAATCACCTTGCGAAAATCTAGCCTGGTGATGAAGAAAGCGGTTTTGGAAAATAAAGTTGCAAAAGTGGGCAAGCGACACAACATTTTTCAACAATTAAAAACTCCTATTGAAAAAAGTTATTAAATGAATAAAATAAAATTAAGACAGTTTATTAGGCAAACAATTCTTAATAAAATGTTAAAATCACCTTGCCGAAATCTCGTCTGGATATGAAGCAATCGGCTCTGGAAGATTAAGGTGCAGAAGGGAGCAAACGACAGAAAATTTGTCAATATTTAAAAATACCTATTGAAAAAAGTCATGAAGTAAATAAAATGCAATTAAGACAGTTTAATAACTAAACAATTCTTAATGAATTATTAAAATCACCTTGTCAAAATCTAGCCTGGTAATGAAGAAAGCGGTTTTGGAAAATGAAGCTGCAAAAGTGGGCAAGCGACACAACATTTTTCAACAATTAAAAACTCATATTGAAAAAAGTTATTAAATGAATAAAATAAAATTAAGACAGTTTATTAGGCAAACAATTCTTAATCAAATTTTAAAATCACCCTGCCGAAATCTAGTCTAGATATGAAGCAATCGGCTCTGGAAGACTAAGTTGTAGAAGGGAGCAAACGACAGAAAATTTGTCAATATTTAAAAATACCTATTGAAAAAGTCATGAAGTAAATAAAATGAAATTAAGACAGTTTATTAACTAAACAATTCTTGATAAAATGTTTAAATCACCTTGCCAAAATCTAGCCTGGAGATGAAGAAAGCGGTTTTGGAAAATGAAGTTGCAAAAGTAGGCAAGCGACACAACATTTTCCAACATTTAAAAATTCGTATTGAAAAAAGTAATTAAATGAATAAAATGAAATTAAGATAGTTTATTAGGTAAACAATTCTTAATAAAATGTTAAAATCACCTTGCAAAAATCTAGCCTGGTGATGAAGAAAGCGGTTTTGGAAAATAAAGTTGCAGAAGTGGGCAAACGACACAACATTTTTCAACATTTAAAAATTCCTATTGAAAAAAGTAATTAAATGAATAAAATAAAATTAATACAGTTTATTGACTAAACAATTCTTAATAAAATATTAAAATCACCTTGCCAAAATCTAGCCTGGTGATGAAGAAAGCGGTTTTGAAAAATGAAGTTACAAAAGTGGGCAAGCGACACAACATTTTCCAACATTTAAAAATTCCTATTGAAAAAAGTGATTAAGTGAATAAAATAAAATTAAGACAGTTTATTACGCAAACAATTCTTAATAAAATGTTAAAATCACCTTGCTAAAACCTAGTCTGGATATGAAGCAATCGGCTCTGGAAGATTAAGGTGCAGAAGGGGGCAAACGACAGAAAATTTGTCAATATTTAAAAATACCTATTGAAAAAGTCATGAAGTAAATAAAATGAAATTAAGACAGTTTATTAACTAAGCAATTCTTGATGAAATGTTATAATCACCTTGCCAAAATCTAGCCTGGAGATAAAGAAAGCGGTTTTGGAAAATGAAGTTGCAAAAGTAGGCAAGCGACACAACATTTTCCAACATTTAAAAATCCGTATTGAAAAAAGTAATTAAATAAATCAAATGAAATTAAGACAGTTTATTACGCAAACAATTATTGATGAAACGTTAAAATCACCTTGCCAAAATCTAGCCTAGAGATGAAGAAAGCGGTTTTGGAAAATCAAGTTGCAAAAGTAGGCAAGCGACACAACATTTTCCAACATTTAAAAATCCGTATTGAAAAAAGTAATTAAATGAATAAAATGAAATTAAGACAGTTTATTAACTAAACAATTCTTAATAAAATGTTAAAATCACCTTGCCGAAATCTAGTCTGGATATGAAGCAATCGGCTCTGGAAGATTAAGGTGCAGAAGGGGGCAAACGACAGAAAATTCGTAGATATTTAAAAATCCGTATTGAAAAAAGTAATGAAGTGAATAAAATAAAATTAAGACAGTTCATTAACTCAACAATTCTTAATGAAATATTAAAATCATCTTGCCGAAATCGAGCCTGGATATGAAGCAATCGGCTCTGGAAGACTAAGTTGCAGAAGGGAGCAAACGACAGAAAATTTGTCAACATTTAAAAATACCTATTGAAAAAAGTCATGAAGCAAATAAAATGAAATTAAGACAGTTTATTAACTAAACAATTCTTAATGAAACATTAAAATCACCTTGCCAAAATCTAGCCTGGAGATGAAAAAAGCGGTTTTAGAAAATAAAGTTGCAGAAGTGGGCAAGCGACACAACATTTTTCAACATTTAAAAATTCCTGTTGAAAAAAGTATTTAAATGAATAAAATGAAATTAAGACAGTTTATTAACTAAACAATTCTTAATGAAACATTAAAATCACCTTGCCAAAATCTAGCCTGAAGATGAAAAAAGCGGTTTTGGAAAATAAAGTTGCAGAAGTGGGCAAGCGACACAACATTTTTCAACATTTAAAAATTCCTGTTGAAAAAAGTGATTAAATGAATAAATTAAAATTAAGACAGTTTATTAGGCAAACAATTCTTAATAAAATGTTAAAATCATCTTGTTGAAATCCAGTCTGAATATGAAGCAATCGGCTCTGGAAGAATAAATTCAGAAGGGGGCAAACGACAGAAAATTTGTCAATATTTAAAAATACCTATTGAAGATAGTCATGAAGTAAATAAAATGAAATTAAGACAGTTCATTAAATAAACAATTCTTGATAAAATATTAAAATCACCTTGTCAAAATCTAGCCTGGAGATGAAAAAATCGCCTTTGGAAGATTAAGTTGCAGAAGTCGGTAAGCGACAGAAAATTACTGGAAATGGAAAAATCCTGTGTCTAAAACTAATCCGAACGATTCGAGTTGATTATCAAACGTGTAAAGAGCCATTTTGCCTGAAATCCATGAGTAAATGTTGATAGAGTATTTGTAAAATGTCAGACGAATAAGTGAAACCAGACCTAGCGCAGTATATTTCCTCAAGGCGACAGCGCTCTTATGGGTAAATAAAGGGTGAACGGGCAAAATGGGGAGAAATCGGGATAAAGCTGAGGTCGTAAATAATAAAAATGTATTGCCCCATATAAATAAACGCCAGGAACAGCAGCATCTCGAAAGAAACTATGTAATGGATATGTATTATTTCGCTTTTCGATTTAGGACTTTCCCACTAAAGCGATCAAATATTTTAGCCAGCAGCAAGAAAAAAACGTCAAATGTGACCCACGAAAACGATGAAATTTTACATTAATTTTGTTAAATTACGCATTCTTTTGGCGTCACTGTTTAAGTCGGATCTATTCAATAAACATCTAATCAAGCCCCATAAACTCGGCATGCCTCTGTCCGGATTCACATAATTGGTTTAATCTTCATTTTCCGGTGGTCCTTAACAGCAACCAGTTCACTTTCAGGTGATCATCCGACAGTTTCTGTGACATCCCCGACTGAATATTCGAATCATGTACGACAATTTTTCAGGCGATTTTGAGGCATTTTCCAATAGCTGGTGGCCGTATTTTATCGCGATGTTCATTGGCATTATTTCGGCAATTCGGTAAGGAAAACTCTATCTAATCGAGGATTTTCAGCTGAAACTTTCCGCGCTACTATTGAAAGATTGCTAATCGTAGATTTTACGTTGGAGGTGCACAGTGCCCAAAGTCGCATAGGATGGATGGAAAAATTGTGATTATCACTGGAGGTGCTAGTGGTTTAGGCTTCGAGACTGCAAAGAATCTTGCAGCCAGAGGTAAGTCCTTCATCAGGAACTCATAACGTAGGCCTGAGTAACACTGTGTTGAGTTGCGCTTTTGAGTTGTTGGCGCACTCAATTTTGATGAAACAAAAAATTTTCAGCGCGATGAGGGTGACGAGTTTCCCGAATATTGATTATATACTTTTGCTTTCTCTGGTCGTTTTTTGAGTTTTTTGTCGTAAATTTTGCCGAAAAGAAAACAAGATAAGTTTGTTTCGATTTTGTCCCAAATTTAAAGGTAAAATGGGTATAAAAGACGATAAAGAAGACCACTTTTCTGGTAAAGCCATCTTCTAACTTTTTTGTATAAAAGACTGTCCCGAATTCGACTCCAGAAAAGTTTCCGTAAAATTGCTACAAAGCTATAAACACATCCTGTAATTTTTCGCGTAAACTACATCCAGATCGTCAGTATTTTTAAGTAAAACTTTACAAAATTGAGCGCTTTCGAGTAGAAAGCAAAGCAAAAAAATTCAGTCAAAACTAAACAACCGCATTTACAATCTTCAGAGGAATGTAGGTCACGAGTTTTCCAATTAATTTATTATAAACTTTTCCTTTTTCAGTTGGTTTTCTGATGGAAAATTATGTTATTTTTGTCCCAAATTCGAAGCTGGAAAGGGATTTCAAAACTTTTTACAAAGCGACGAAGGAGGCAAGTGTTCTAATAAAATGTATTTCATAATTTTTCGCGAAAAAAACCTTTTGAGGTGAATCTTTAGAAAATTGAGCATTTAGAAAAAAGAGTAACTTTGCTAAAACTGGAAAATTCCAGAATTTTGAAGAAATGTTTAAAACATTGTTGATAAATGGCCCTTAAAAACTAAATCTAAAAACAAGTTAAAAAAGTCATCAACATTTTCCCAGCAACGGAACTGAGTTAATGCGCCGGTGCGGTGGGTTGGCGCACCAAGCCATTTACGCAGCACTGCCCCAACTCCTAAAAACTCATTGAGTTACCCAGGCCTATCATACCGTGAAAAAGTGCTGCAAAGTAAGGAAATTATTTCCACAAGCTCTTACATGGATCAAGCCACCAGAATTGTTATTTCAGGAGCCCACGTAGTTCTGGCCGTTCGAAATGAGGAACGAGGAAAACGGGCCCAGAAAGAACTTAAAAAATTGTACACAAACGCCTCAATTGATGTTAAACTACTGGACATTTCAAGCGTTGCCAGCGTTCGAAGTTTCGCCCACGACATCCAAACTTCTTACCCGAAAGTGGATGTTCTCATTAATAATGCTGCCGTTATTTACCAGCCGTTCATTAAAACGCCTGAAGGAAACGAACTGACTTTGGCAACCAACTATCTGGGTAAATCAGCAAATTACGCAAGTTTTTGGGGCTGAGTACAGGAATTTCAGGACCGTTTCTCTTAACACATCTTCTACTGCCGCTCCTGAATAAGTCGCTCAATGGTAGGATTATCAATGTGTCGGCAATGGCGCATTACAGCGGCAAGCTGAGACTAGATGACTTGAATATGGAAAAAGACTACAACGAAAAAGACGCATTTTCACAAAGCAAACTAGCTTTGACTATCTTCACCAAGTATCTGGCCACTCTCCTCGACAGTGAGCGCCTTTAATTGAGACTCTAAAAGGCACTAAGCAGAGGAATTGTTTCAGATACACGAATTCACTGTAACTCTGTGAGCCCGGGGCTAGTGAGAGGAACAAATCATCTAGAAAATTTACCTTTGCAACGGTCCTTATGGACCAAAGTGTCCGTTTGGCCCTGGATGTGGCTGTTCTTGAAAAACCCCATACAAGGCTGCCAAAGCATTGTCTATCTAGCAGTTGAGCCCAATTTGAGCAACATTTCTGGATACTATTTCAGGTGTGAATCAATCGATCAACTGACAAAATCTGGTTCATTCGTTTACTCTCTTTTACAGTGACTGTGAAATTAAGGAACCGGCCGATCCGGTCAAAGATGCCACTCTTGCTCAAGCTTTATACGACAGAACTTCCGATATGGTCAATATCGCTGGAAGGAGGATTATTGAAGAATTGAAAGCCAAAGAAAGTCAACATGCAGTGAATGAGTCTGGTGATAATGAAGACAATTTTTGAGTCTAATAGAACAGCATTTCGTACACAAGTGCGTTTTATTTTCCCATATAGGTTTCGGAGGCACTATCTATTTCCGTGCAAATGAAGGGGAATGAATGGGACTGGAATGGACAAGAATTATGGCAATTGAGACTCCCGAGTAATAAATATTAATATATTTGCATAACATACCTAAAAATGCTTCATTTTTGGAACGCAACAGCGATGGTTTGGTCATATTTAACAGCAAAAACTCCTACGCAGATAATCGCGTCCATTTTTCGCTGACTTTCCACAGCCATTTAGCCAAGTTCAAGTCCAGAGCATCTCCGGAAAGTTCTTCCTCCTTGAAGCTACTAAAAACACAGTAAATGTTTTAAATTGATGAAAAGATCAACGACATTTTTCACCTACATTTCTTAATGTTAATCAAAGAATCGTTTTCTTGTATTGAAGTGTGTAATTTTTGGTCTTTTTCAAGCCTTCAAAGATACATTTGGCCTAGCGCTTTCGACTATTAAGACATCATCAGAGCCTTCGTCAATCAGCCTTGACGAAGGCTCTGATGATGACTTAATAGTCGAAAGCGCTAGGCCAAATGTACCTTTGAAGCCTAGAAAAGAACCAAAAATTACACACTTTAATACAAAAAGACCGATTCCTTGGTTCCATCCAGTCTGTGTATTATTTCAATTTCTTAGTGTGTTCTTGATGTTTGATCATATTTGAATGTCGTTAATTCTATGCTGTTTCTGATGCAGTTTAAGCTTACTTGAAATATTTTCCGGTCACTTTCTCCACCTCAGGATCCAATGCTAGATAAATTATACTTTGGCACCCTTGACGCGGACTTTTAATGAAGGCCCACGTTAAGGGCCTGAAAATAATGCGAGCAAAGGTACTTTTTGAGAATCCCATGTGACGTGCCAAGTCCGTGTCCACAATGCCAGGATGGATTGAATTCACTGTGACTCCAGTACCTGAGAACGTTAAAATCCCCGTGTAAAAATTATATCAATTGTATTGTTCAATTAGCCATGCGAAAATCACAGTTAAATAGATGCAAGATTGATGCGAGTCTCCAGATCCACCCTTATTTGAACACGAATTCTGAGAACCGGTTGAGCCATAAACGTCTAGTTTCCAGTTAAAAATAGAGCGTTAAATTGCGTGCGTTTTTATATCAAACCTCGTTCTAGAAATGTTTCTAGTTTTCACGCAAAATGCGAAAATTCAAATTGAATGAGAGTGTTCTTCTTGTTACAACGATCTACTGAGCTTTGCCTTATTTCAATTGATTTGATTAATATTGAGTCAAAAATTGGCAACTCACCGCGCTAGTTAAACTAGATTTCTTACCACCAACTTTATACCTTCCAATCGCTGAGCCAATTCATTAGTGAACAGTACCACAGCTAGTTTGCTCTGAGCATACGCATCGGCCGGATCATAGTCAGCCTCACTATTCAAATCTGCCTTGTTGATTGTGCCGTTTTTGTATGTGATACTGGCCAGATTTACGATTCTACTTGGAGCAGATTTCTTCAAAAAAATCCCGCATTAAACTGAGTGACGCATTAAACTGATTTAATCTACTACCTTCAAGTGGTCCAAAAGGAGATTTGTTAACAAAAAATGGCCCAAATGGTTGACGCCCAATTGCAATTCAAATCCATCTTGCGTTTTCGATCCTTTCGGAGTTCTCATTACGCCAGCATTATTAACTAAAACATCCAGTTTCTGTTCTGCAGCTTTGAATGTTCGGACGAAATTTCTGATCGATTCTAGCGAGGCCAAATCACACGGTCTGCAATAAACGTACTTGTTTTTTGTGTCTAAAACTATCTCTTGACGGGCCTGCAAACAAGAACAGTAAGTAATAAAATATGTATATGACATGCGGCGATTTTAAGGCAAAATCATCAGCAATTGCAAGCTATTGAAACCCACATGAAAAATACTGTCTGTTGTCTGTTGATACCGTAGTCTATCCATCTACAAGACATTCTCCTTCGGTTTCAAAAGCTTGCAAATACAGTACAAGTGCACATCAAATGCCTGGTCAAAGTGAAGAATTTTATCGCTTTCGCTAAGCAAAACCATTTCTGACCTCCTCGCAACGAATCATATCTCTGCAAGCCATATAAACCTTGGCGCCCCTTTTGGCCAATTCCCAGGCTGTTTCTTTGCCCAAGCCTGTATTCGCGCCGGTAACAATCGCAACTTTGCCGTCCGCACTGGGGATGCCTTTGTATCGTTCACCACCACCCCTGTCCCTGAAACAGGGTTGAAAAAGGATACTTTTAAACAGTTTAAAGGAAAAACTTACTTTACAAGAATGGCTAAACCGTATACTCCGCAAATTGCTGAACCTACATAGACGTAAGTGGGAATTTTTCGGGCAATGTTCATATCGGCAATTTAAATATTATTATAAATTCAAAAATACACCAACTTCAATGTCAAGAATTACAAAACTTTCTGTTCATCATCATAACCTCGCATTTTGCTGACAACTGGAAATGGTGTGTGCACAGTTGCGTGAGAGCGGCTTCAAGCACGAGCGCCCTCTTATAGCTGGCAATTTTCTAGTACAGAAGGGAACTTATTCGAAATGCGGTCGTTAATTTTTTTGAGCGCTTTTTATCTGATAATGCTAAAAGCTTGAGGTTTGCAGTGAAGTAGCAACTTGACTGTTTATGATCTTTCAACATTGATTGATATGAACAAATACATGAGGATTGCCTCTTAAATGAATAATAGAGGATTAAAACCGACATTATCTTCAAAAAGATTTCGAGAAAACCTTATCTAAGCAAACAATGAGGGAGGAAAAACGATACCGCTAATCTAAAACAACATTCAGTACACATTTAGGAGTCTTTTCACTTGACTGGCGCACAATTTTAAATAGAAATGAATCACTTTCTGGTTCTAACTGCGCTCTGTATAGGATTTTCAGCTGTTTGGGGCCTTGGCGATGAAGACATTAGATGCGTGTCCTCCAGTTGCAAAGTGTGTACACTTTTCCATTTTAAACCTAGCTTGAGCAAATAATTTCCAGGATGTTGAATGCGACGCAGTCCCAGACAGATGCAAAAGCAACGAAACCAATGCGGGAATCTACATGCTTTCGCCGGATATCTGCAATTGCTGCGACTACTGCCTAGAGTACATGGGTAAATTCTGCAAAAAAAAACAGGCAATTAGGTAAATTCAAAAATTTTAAGCCGAAGGTGAAGAGTGCAGTGTGGGCGATCCATCCAATGCAAAACATACGTCGCTGTGTGGACCCGGATTGACTTGTGTGCCTGATGATGGCGAGACCGACGGAACTTGCCAAAAAAGTGAGCAACCTTGAGGTTTAGATTGAAAAACCATGAGAAAAATATATTTAAAAGAGGCATTTAACTGCCATGCCATTTTCTTCTAAACCTCCAGGATGAGAGGTAGCAATTTCTCAACGTACACTTTTTGCTGCAGTGTCGACTAATTGCGCTTTGGAACAACAAAGCTTCGATTTGAGAAGACAAAATGGGAATTTGGGCGCAATGGAGACGCGAGCAACATGCGACGATGACGGACTTTACGGCACCTACAAATGTGTTCCTGGACAAAAGTATGTAAAAGAGCAAGTGCAAAAGGACTGGAAACGGAACACCAGAAATCAATTTTGAAACACTAAGAGAGTCGTTGTTTCGACAGACCCAATAGACAAACATTGCAACAGACAATTAGCTACTAATTCCATAGGATTTTACCTAATCGAATTGTCTATTTGAGTTCCATTTAACATCGTTAGCAACTTTCTTTGATAAACACTTTTCCTGTTATCTTAACCGGTTTCTTGTGCCTTTTTCAGCTGCTTCTGCCTCCACTCAAACGGATCACGCATCTTCGGAGAAGCCAACTACAACACCATTGCGGATTACATGTCTTGCGGTAAGTGACCAGCGCTAAGAATATAATTTGGTGATTTGTGAATATTTCCAGAGTGTTCCAGAGCTTATTACGATGCTGTGGACATAATGGGGCGCCAATTGCATCCGCATGAACACTTCCGATGCGATTCCACAGGCAGTTACGATCGGATCCAGTGCATCAATGAGCAGTGTTTATGTGTGGACGCGCTGGATGGAGCCCCCACTTTCCCCAACAATAAGCTCGTGGACCTGGAGGATATTAGCAATGAAACATTGTCCTGCTGTAAGTCGGGATTGCATTGAAAACTCCAAAAAATTCAGTCATTTTCATTAGACTCCGACGAGGGTTCGCAGGGGCTCTACTACAAAAAGTGCGAAGAAGAGTACATGAGCATCCACAAGGAAATTGAAGAAAAAAAGAATGAGTCTGGATACAGCTTGATTCTGGGGTATTCATATCCCTCGTGTGACTTGGATGGCTCCTATCAGGCCGTCCAGGAAAATCAGACCCAGTAAGCAAATTCAACTGCAGGAAAGAATCGACTTGGACTCTGAATTGTTTTCTTGCAGCAAATACTGCGTGGATAAGGAAGGAAGCGCCATAACAACTCCGTTGGAAAAAGCCAGCACCACCTTAACCACCCTGATAGAGAGCATGGATTGCAGTAGGTAACCGTTAAATTCTAAAGCCGAATTAGTTAACGAAAAATTGCAGAATGTGCCCGATCAAATCTACTGATGACAACAGCAGAAAAGCCAGATTGTCTGGAAAATGGCAACTACAATCCGGTACAATGCCGAAGGAACATTTGCCGATGCGTGGACGTTGATGGTAACCAAAAGTGCTCCGATTCGACGACAGCGTGCGAAGAAGTCGAGGAAAGCATGAAAGCGTCACTTAAATGCACCTAGTTTGGCTAAATAAAAACACATTTTGAAATCGTTCTAATTCATGAATAAATTCGCAGGATATTGCCATAGACTTATCCTTTGTTTGTCCGGTTTTGTTTCGATAAGCCAGAGGCAACGCTGTGCAACTTTGCCTTGAAAAGCGAATTTCTACGTGAGAAAACTCTGTTATGACCAGGAAGTTGCACGATTAACATAGAGGTGCATAATTTTCTAAAAGTCTGCAAGATTCAGCTCAGGTGATCAAGGAGGCCGAAGCAATAATTTGTCAGAATAATGCCGGGTTTAATGGTGTTTCGTATTCCCGCAGTTGCTTTTCAGTATATTTTGATCAAACAATTGTTACCGTACATTAACTCGTTCTGATTTATTTTCCTGACTACGTGTAATTATTATTATATTATTTTCCTTCCTGGGTTTCAGCCAAAGTGTGAAATAAAAATTTGTAAATCGTTTATTTCATTACGTTTCGGCGAGACAACAGCGCCATCATCAGATTTAAAATCCATACGAACTCATAATTGGTAAACATTACATTCTTTTAGGTCT